AAACATTACAATGCTTTCATATGCAAAATACCAAATTTTTTTTATTAAGTCATAAGGTTTATAAAGCAATGTTTTTCTCATGTCCTTTTTTTCTTTTTATGTTGCCTATCTATCAATCAAAGTAATTTTCAAATTTCACATGTGAAATCTATATAATGTCTTAAGAAAAAACTTTATATTTTATCTGTTATTTTCAGTAATTAATCTCTGTATGGGTTTGGTAGATTTGACGGATCTCATAACCACCATAAAAGATTATGAAATAAATATAAATTATGCCTCTTTCATTCTAGAATGAACAAAATTATAACATGAAAACATAAATGTTTAGAATAAATAGCTTAAATCTCATAACATTATACATTTTATTATATTGAACTTTCAGCTGTGCCTGGCTAACAATACAGAAGTTACAATGATGCAGCAAGTAACATGTCTTGGCTGTGTTTTAGTAGACTAGTATTTTGTAAAATACAGTCACATTTCAATTATTATACAATATATATGTATACAGATTTTTGTTATTTTGAAATAAGTTCTGAAACTTATTTTTTCTAAAACATAGAACAGTAAATAAAGAAGTAAAGCAAACAATTATCTCTTCTAGTTATGACCTTTGTACTCGGTTGTTGCTTCACATAGGCTGCTAAGCCTTTAAAAAATTTGCACATGTTATCTCAGCAGGGCTCAGCTTTCTGTGCTGCATTTGAGGGACATGAGCAGTTGGTTTTCACTGCTCTATCCTCTCCTTCTTTTCCTACATGGGAGGTTCTCTCTTTTGAGGATTTGGGCTTCCATGGAATCCCTTATTCTCTTGGGTCATGCTCTCATGGATCTGTTGCAGTGGACTCTGCATGATCAATGGAACCTCTTTCGGAATCCCTTGTCCTTCCTCATCCAACTTGCTCTTTCTCTGCACTCCAGTATCACCTGTTGGCTTGACAGAACCAATGCTAGAGAAGGTGTTTCTATTCCTTCCTCTCACCTGGATCTCTGTCTTTTTGCAGATGTTTCCTTGATAGGGTAGTGTACTTCTCTCAACTCTTTGGAGATTTTGGATTAATAGTCCCCAGATGAAACAACCTTCACATCAATCTTTTGAAACTCTTAGTATTTTTTTAGGCATTGGATGATTCTTTTATAGTTGCACAAGACCAATTGATAATGATCCATATAGACAACTCAACTGTGGTATTATATATCAGTTGTTGGTAAGGGGGATATTCAGTCTCTGTTTCCACACCTACTACTTCTTTTTGTGGGACCATTCTCTACAAGTGTATTTCATGTTCCAGCTGCCCTGAATCTTGTTACAGGACCAACAAGATATTTCCCATGGAGAGGTGAGGTTTATCAGTGGCTTTGCTTTTGTCAGGGCATTCCTCTCATCAATACTTTTGCCAGTTACAATAATGTCAAGCTTTCCATTTTCTGGTCTCCTGTTCTGCATCCATCAGCTCTAGTGGTGGATGCATTCTTTATTCTTACTCACCTATTTGTCTCCTTCCTAAGATTCTCTCCCTCATTTGGGACACTCCATGCCTGGTCCTTCTTGTGGCACCCTATTGGCTGGCTCAAACATGACTTCTTATGTTGAATCTTTACAGTGCTCTTTCCTCTTCCTTTCTTCTTCTTCAGCCTCATTCTTCTCCCTTCCATCCAACCATGTCAGCACTCCGACTTCATTCATAGGATTTGTCCAGTCCCATGAAAGATGTTCTGGACACACTTCATGTGAAGCCTTCCTTTCTTTCCCATTCTGTTTGCCCATCCTTTCTCCTTGTATATCAGTGGAAGTGGAATATTTTTTGCAGTTGATCACTAGATCATTCATTAGTCCCTTCTCATCCTTCTGTCCTCCATCTCTGAATTATTTACCTAGCTTTTTGACCAAGGATTATTGGTATCGACCACTGCTGGTTACCAAGTGCCCTCTCTACTAATTTCCATTTTTCCTGTTACCATCAGATTTTTTTTCCTCCTTGGTCCTCACTGTGCTCTTCCATTCCTTTCACCTTCTTCATGTCCTTCTTGCCTGAGACATTAATGTTGTTCTCTTTGACTTTCTGTTCCTTTTACCATCTCTCCTTTAAAACCTATTTTCTCCTCCTTTTTGTTTGTGGTCATTGATGTTTTGACATGTATACCATCAACATCACACATTCTTTTTCATTGCTTCTCTCTGTCCTGATCACACTTTTATCCTTGAAACATCTGATCACATGAGGGTGACAGCATGTTCACACCTGTATTTCTCCCTTTTATTTTTCATCTTTATTCTCACTCAGATCCTGATTGCTTCCTCTTTCCGTTGTTATTTGGCCCATATTTCTTCCTTTTTGTGGTTCCCAATCCCATCTTTTCATTCCTTGGAATCCTTTTTCCACTCATGATCTTTCTCCCATCACCTTTACTGGATAGCTTCATCAATTCATCTGTTCAATTTGTTCTTTGTTGGATAGCAATGCACACCAGTGCTTCCAGGTGTCCTCACATCAAAATCTGCACCTTATGCATTATTTGATTGCTCACTTCCATCACCTATTGGATAAGATCGTTCAGGCTGGCATGTGGCCAACTCCTCACACTTTTGTTGCACGCTATCTCTATCCTTTGGCTGTTTCTTCTTTAGCGGGCTATAAACTACTTCCAGTCTCTATTCTCCACACCTCATACTAATTCTTACTGTGTATGTTCCCTTTCTTTTTTATCTTCCTTTTACAGAATCATGCTCAGTGACAAGTTGTGCCTGCTAGGGTGTACTCATCTCACATCTACACAGTGTAGGGCCATCATGGCCTAATATGAGATGGGGTGTTCCATAAGATTGCTCAAGATGTTCTCAAGGTGATGATTATCTTAACCAAAGCCCTGTTCAGACTGTACACACTCATAGACTATCATGAGTAAAGCAGGCAGGGAATCCCTCCTCCTACTGTGGCCGGGAAGCCAAATTTCCGGTTCCACCTGGTTTTGATCTGGAGTTGACCCACTATATATGGTCTTACCTGCTGTAGCCACACTATACATGTAGCACTTCTGATAGCCTGATGCAGGACCAGGACTTGCTTGTATTTTCTGCAAATTTCCCTTCTTTACAGGTGAAGACTGTACCTTATACAGACGAGGTGCAGCTTCCACCACTTCAATGTGGGATTCTAGCTATATGTTAGAAGAGGTTATGTCTCCTATCAGAAGTTAACAATTTCCAACACTGAAAATGTATTTCCAATAGGTATTCACTTCCTCTTACATTCCCACCCTTCTTTTCTTGTCTTATCTCAAAGTGATCATTGAACAATCACTATAGATGAAGCCAGCTGTGCTAGGAGGATGTGTCACACTCCTGTTGGTGGAAGGTTGTCACATGATCATTGGCATGCAACTATGCGGCAATATCTGGAAACACATGAAATTAGGTGGGAGTCTCAAGACTAGTGGAAAGCAAAAAAAGTTTGCATAAAGAGGGGAGTATTGAACTGGGAAAGCTGTGTGTGAGAAACTCTTTCTGTTCCTGAAACACATAACATTGGAAAAAAGAGATATAAAAATAGATCATTTCATTTGAGACACGTTGTCATAGTGCTCTTTAGAATTCATATAGGTTAGTTTCCAGTATGTTACTGTTAAACGGTTTGACTTTTGCTCCTTTTGTTTATTAATTCTTTTTACTCTTGAACTTCTGTTTTTTATTTTTCAAAATTGAGTTTTGATTAAATATTACTGAGAATAAAAATTCAAGATGGCATAATGTTACTTCTTTCATAATTTAATTCAGAAAACGTTGTTTTACACTGATCTCAAAACAAGTTCTACAATTGATAGAATATATACTTTTTATTCAAATCTGAATTCAAGTGTAAAATAAATGTGAGAATTAAGAAATTAAAACTATTTCAATGAAACCAGTTCTGAAACATATATATATATATATACACACACACACACACACACACACACACACACACACACACACACACACA